TGGGGGGGTGGGGGTGGTGTATCTTCTTATTTTTGAATTTGAATTTGAATTTTTAAACTTGTATATCACTTTCCCACATAATTTTAAGAAAAATAAATACTACTCCAGTAACTACTTAATTTATGAAGTGGGCAAATCTCATCCATCCAATGTCATTTATAACAAATAGCCAAAAAAGATCTATAATATCATGTTGGTAATGGAGTTCATTACGCTCAAATAGCAATATCCAAATATCAGAATCATAATATTTAGGGGACCCACTAGGCAAATAATGACTAAAAACGAAGAGAAAATGGAACGAACTGTATCACGATGAGGGTGACATAGGGTTCACAGTTAGATAGGAAGCATCTTGCTTTAGGCCATGGATCCTCCGTCACACACATCAAAACTAATTACTAATGGAAGTGAAACCAATCCCCTTTCTCTATGTAAAAGGACAAGTTGTCTTTTGGTCTAAATAATGCCACCATTTACCAAGATTGTAGACATTTCTTTTATATTACCTAGATCGAAGACTTAGTTTTCTATAATAATTGCTCTTTGGGTGTAATTTAGTTGAGAGAGGAACATACCTGATTCTGGACTTGAAGTTTAGGAGTTTACATAGTGATTTTAAATTAATATACAATAATAATTAGGTTCGCTTCAGTAAATTTTAATACACATGCAGAATCAGAATAAAAATGACTAGATTCACATAATCCGAAAACTTACAAGCTAGAGCCTTAACCCAAAAGGAAGTTCGAGAAAGCTGGCGAGCATGGACCACGCCCCATACACAAACAAATCCCTGCGACAGCAGCTAACCTTCTCCGCGCCCAACAATGCACCGCACATCGCACATCACCTCATTGACTCTCTTTCCGTCCATATTACTATATGGACACGTGTATTATTGGCACGGTTCGTGATTGNAAAAAATATATGATAAGAAAATACTTTTATAAATTCATATTAAATTAACAGAATATATATGACAAGAGATATAGTTCTTTCAATAATTGTATCAATGAGTGACAAATTTTTCAAATGAAAAGATGTTTTCTAGAGCATCAAAATCAACAATTAGGCAGTACTATTACTTGTAAAAAAAAAATATAATTAAATAATATTTTTTACACCAAGTTGCTAAATATCATTAATCATTGGCGTAACAAAAGGAGAAAAATCATTGTCTGAGTAAAATTATTCAGTTACTCAACAGTAGAAAGTGTCTGCTCTTCGCAACTTCAATTTTTATTTTTAGAATCATCGCAAAGTTTCTTAAATATCTTCATTTTACTCTAACTTATAAGCTATTGAAAATCGTTAAAGTAACAAAGCAAACACACTCAAAGAAGTCATTCCACCTAATTTTCTTCCAAAGAATCATACTCATACCATATGAAACAAAATCTTATATTAGACTAAATTTTTTAGCATTAAAATATGTACTTGTGATTTTCAAATTTATACGTGAAATTTTACAACCTATTTTTTTAATCTTTAATTATTGATTCCACTATATGTTTATTTTTAGCTTTAATTTAGAAATTATCAATATTTTAAGTTACACATTATCCATTAGCATCTAGTCTGTATAGAGTTTCATGCAAATAGTATAGTAAAATTATTTTCCTAAGTATTATAGTAATTTTTGTTAGCTTTTAAATTGTCTTTTCAGTTCAATTTTGGTATTAAACACACTATAAAATATATCAGTTTACGAAAATTTAAACTTATAACGAATTCATGTGAATAATTTGATGTTACTAAAAATTGGATGAACAATTACAATCCATACAAATCACTTAAATTTCAAGAAGTATCAATCATCAATGATATTATATATAGAATTCAAAAACTAAAATATAAAAATATTAAGCTCCAAAAGAATACGTAGAGGAGTAAAGAAATAATAACAGAAGAGAACTTATATACAATAATCGGATTTCCCTTGAATTATGTGGCACTGATGACAAGAATTCTAAGTGTATAAATTATAAGAATCCTAGTGAAAAGTTTAACTTCGATTGAATAATATAAATCGTTATCTAATATGAATCCTAATGGAAATAAACTATAAACTTTATAGGGTTGTACATGCGCAATTTAAATCCGAAAAGAATTCTAACCTTGGATAATTACAATTATATTCTTAAATTATACAAATATTTAAGGGCATAAAAGTCGATCAAAGTTTCAGGGATATTTTAGTCGTTCAACATTTAGCATAAAAATGCGTACTGTATATATATTATAATAATAATAATAATGTTTTTAGAAAATATATACTTATACAAAGTTCGTATCTACCTTCATAAGTTGTGAGTGATGCACCCCATACCTACTTAAAATCTAAATTTTCTCTGTACAAATGATAAGGATATCTGTCCAGTGTTATAAAGCAGTAGGGAGTGTAACTAATATTCCGGTAGGAGTATAAACAGTAAACTTATCATACTCAATTTTATAGCAAATCAAGGAATACAAAATAAAACATTTATGGTTTAATCATGGTCACGTGATATGTATGCTAACTTATAATTTTAACTAGTTTGACATGAACATTTATAGTAGTACGGGTAAGTATTTACCCTTGGGTAGGTATGTGTGTATGGATGATGCGAAAATACTAGTACTATAAATCTTGCGGAGGAAAATAACAAGAGAAAGAAAAAGATGGAGACCTTAAACCAAGTGATAGTTAAAAAGATAATGGATTAGAAATAGGAGGAGATAGATGAGAAACACGAGAGAGTCCCTCCATCTTTAAAGAAAAGCCAAAGCCCACGCGAAAGAAGAGAAGAGCAAGGAAACAAGGAACCAGAATAAGAGGCCTGCCCCTCTCTCTCTGTCTCTCTTTGGACTGATTCGGTTTGATCGCATCTACTGCTATTTCTCTCTCTCTCTCTCTCTCTCTCTCTCTCTCTCTCTCTCTCTCCCATATGCTTTGAAAAAAGCATATAGCATAGGAATCAAGGCAAGCGAAGCAAGCAAGTAAAAAAGAAAACCAACAAAGTAAAAGTTTCTTAGGTGGAAGGAAACAAAGTGTGGGTCAGCTTGGTGGCTTCTTCTTCTCAGACATGAAAAAAAACTCATTCAACTCCGCAATTTCTTCTCTTTAAACTCCGAATCCCTCTCTTATCTCTCTCTCAAGAATCAAAAGTTTCTTTCTTTTCCTTAAATACAACACTTGTCTCAATCTTTTCATTTTCTTGATATTTCCTTTGGTTTGGTTATATAGTTATATAGTCCTCCATAGTTTGGGGCATCTTCTTCTCCTGATTCATGTGTTAGCCTTAATTAGGCCTTCCCTTTCTCACCACTCTCATTACAAATTAAGAGCCAAATCACAATCTCTCTTCATTGCCATCACAATTCTTGTTTGCATATCTTCAACTTGACACTTTTTTCTCTATATATTTACCTTTCTGTTTCGATCATATAACCTTCATTCTTAAATGGCCGTTCACGCTCAATATCCATCAAATGTTCTCCTTTTAAACAGGTCTGCATTCTTCACACCTCCCAACCAAAGAACACTCTCTCCCCTTTCCCTCTGAATTTTTTTTTATCTTTTTCTTTATTACTTACTAGTACCTTAATGGGATTTTCTTTGATTCTTCGTTGCAGAAGTGTACAAGAACGAAAGAACCCACTTAACAATGATGATTACTCGTTGCAACCTCAACCTGGTGGAGCATCAATTCTTGATCACACACATATGCTATTCAATCCAGAAGGTTAAAAAACAGGGGCTCTGTATTTAATTAGTTTGATTGATTGAATGGTTTTGTTTATCATTTCTTAATAAGTAGTACCAAAAAACTTCAATAGGAATAGAGAAGTAATTAACCTTATTAACGTTTTGGCCATGGCAGCTGGCTCCAACCATTCGTGTAAAAGAAGAAGAGAAATAACCACCAACACCACTAGTACAACGGCAGCAGCAATGAATCCATTAATCTCATCAATGCAATCTCAGCCGCAGCAGCAGCTCATTGACTTAACTCAGCTTCATACGCATCAACCAAATGTTGTCTCAACCGGCCTCCGTTTAGCTTCCGGCCAACAGCTACAACAACAAAAACAACATCACTCTCTTTCTCCTCAATCTTCTCGATCATCAGCCTTCTATTCAATATTAACAGAAGACTTCTCCACAATTATCAAACAGCAGCGCGATGAAATTGAACATATCCTCCATGTTCAGGTATTAAGATTACTTATTGTATTTGCTGAATTGCAATGAATAATTATTTCTAGTTGGATTTTACAGAGAGAACAATTGAGGCGGACATTAGAGGAGAAAAGGCGTACACACTATCGTGCGCTGCTCGGGACTGCCGAGGAAACAATGGCACGCCAACTGAAGGAGAAGGAAGCCGAGGTGGAGAAAGCGGTTAGGCGCAACGCGGAGTTAGAGGCGCGTGCAGCGCAGCTGAGTGCGGAGGCGCAGGCGTGGCAGGCAAGGGCGAAAGCGGAGGAATTCACGGCGGCCACGCTGCAGGCACAGCTACAGCAGGCGATGATCAATAACGGCGCCGGAGGGTGCAATGCGCACCTCCCGGAGAGTGACGGCGGCGAAGCGGAAGATGCTGAGTCTGTCTACGTTGACCCGGACCGAGTCATTGAGTCAATCGGGCCGAGTTGCAAGGCTTGCCGGAAGCGAGTTGCGTCGGTGGTGCTTTTGCCGTGTCGGCATTTGTGTGTTTGTACGGATTGTGATGCTGTGCTTCAAGCTTGTCCCCTCTGTTTCTCCATTAGAACCTCAAGTGTTGAGGTTTTTCTGTGTTAGGCCCAATTCTCGGCCCACGATCTTTGCAGCCCAGGCCCATGGATTCTAACTTTTGTATGCATGATTGCATGGTAAATGGGGTAGAAGTGAAAAAAAAGTAAAAGAAAACATAAAAATAAATAATGAAATATATTAGTCATGCTTTTCTTTCTTCAAAACTTTCTTCTTTTCTTTTACCCTTCGACTTGGTTTTTTTTCTTTTGGCTCCATTTTGAGGACACAAATCATTGTTCTTTATTCTTTTCTTCTTGAAGTGAAAATACCTTGGAGATGTTGTACATTGTGAAATGGTGAGGCATTGCCTTTCCTGTTCTTTTTTGTCCTTTTTATAATTTCAATTCATTTATAAAATTCTTTCATTTGCTCTCTCATAGTACTATAAAACTTGTTTTCCTTAACTAATGTTATGAAAATTACTACACGCTACATTGTAGTTTAGTACATGCACCACATTGTCATTAAAATGAGGCTGTGTAGAATTTGGAAGTGACAAAATAAGTACGGAAGTCATGATAGACAAATTTAGAAGAATTAAACTTCATTTTAACTATATACGGTCAAACCTCTTTATTACAGTCTCGTTTGTTGCGATATTTTTGGTTGCTATATTGACTCGCTGTTATAGATGCCATATATATAATATGACATGAAAATCGGTTTCAAAAATAATTTGGGTTTATAGTGAATGATTGTTATATAGGAATGCTGTTATAGAGAGATTTAACTGTACCATCATTTTATCCTTGTTATTTTTCAAGAAAAAATTGGCGTGATTTTCCCTCATCAACTCATGGCTGGTTGACTCCCTATATTAACTAACCCTATAGTATCTCCAAAATGTGTTCCTGTGTTTAATTATACTATTGGTTAGCATATAAACACACGTAATTTTATGATAAATAATTTTTTTTAATTAGAACAAGCCTATATATTGGAATTTTATGATAAATTAAGATGTCTCAAGCGCCACTTGGTAAATCATATATATTCTTGATGCGCTTTTAACTGAAAGATAATCAAAGAACTTACTAGCAAACCCCTAAAATTTCATTTTAAACTTTAGGTTGATATGTTTGAAAGTAATTTGAGTGCCCTTTTGCAAATACAACATGATCAGATCTCTGGCGTGTGAGTTTCGAAATTTGCTAAATTTGGTTGTGAATAATATATATTAAACAGAAGGTATGATTAGCATGTATATTTTATGGACTGATTGGACCGTAGACCAAGGAAAGATCATAGCAATGCATTCCATGGTTTGATCTAAATTTGTAGGATCCTACTCTGATCACATGTCTAACATAACAATTGTCTATTGAAATATCACAAATGTAGGTCTCTTTAGTTTATTCAGTTATTAACTAAGATAAGCCCCTCATTCCCCCACCCACCCACCTCAAGTAAAGTAAATGTAATGAATCTCTTCAGTTTTTTACAGTCATAGACTATAAGTATACATACTTATTAAGTTTAATTTACTAAATTTTCATCTATCTATATCTATATCTATCTATACTATATTAAAAGCACGAATGCCCTTAACGAAATGTTGTTCGCCTTTTTTACTATTTATAAATAGATTTCACACTAGATAAAACTGTAAAATCAAAAAACTTTCCTAATATTTAGGAGTTCTTAATATCATCTCCTAATATGAATACAAAATATTAAAACAGTAAAAGAATACAAAAAAAATAGGAGGAAAGATTCTCGTTGGTTTCCAACAAGGAAACTTCACGATTTTGTTTAATATTTCTGTTCCTTGTCATTGTTTAATCATAGAGACCAATTTTGCCTCTTTATTTTCTTTTCATATGATTTATTTGTTGTTTTTAAAATTTAAATCACAAGTACTTTTTAATAAGCTTGGTCAAATTTGTTTATTCTATTCTAAAAAATTAATACGGCATTAGGTTTTGAAATAGTAATTGTTTTTGAAAAAAATAGTAATTATTTATTTGTGATAAAAAATTAATTACAGTAATTTAGTTTATAGAAAATACCTAAATTACCTCAATGCATATTCATGTTAAATAGATGAAAAATGACTTTTATCTTTTGGTAAAAAAGAAACTAATATTATTACTAAGAAAGTGTATTACATAATATAAATTTATAAAATAGAAATTACTTACGAAATTCATCTTGTGGCTGATATGATTTTTTTAATAATCTGTCACTAATTCTATCACTGAATAGGATTAGTGATTAAATTTTTGTCATTTGACTACGTAATTAGTCCATCGCTAATTTTTCTTCTTTTTGTAGTTGACTTATCTAGAATACATGGTACCTAGACGATTATTTTGATACGAATTAATATAAAAGAAGGGGTTACAAAATAGAACACTAAACTTTCAAAATTATCTTGGTTGTTTTCATACTTAGCAAGGCTATCCTTTCCTTTTTTTTTATTAAATAGGCTCAATATTTGTCATTTTCAAGATCTTATATTTTTTTTAAAAATTATTTTCAAGGGCTTGCATTTTTATATTTTTATACGCATCGATAGAGGGTCACGCGTATCGCGCGTATCCTAAAACTAGTTATATTAAAAGCACAAAGGCCCTTAACGAAATGTCGTTCGCCTTTTTTACCCTCTAAAAATAAAGTTCACACTAGACAAAACAGTCATTTAATTATTTCTCTAATAATTAAAAATATTTATTTAATAAATTCTCTAATATTTAGGGATACTCATTTAATTATTCTCCTACTATTTAGGATTTTAATTTTCTATTCCTTTTAATTCTACAAGTCGTGCCTTTTCAATCCATGTAGATTTAGTAGTATTAAATTTCATGAACTTTCAATTACCACTAAAAAAAAATCTGAAACTTTGTACTCCTTATATGTTTAAGATGATCTTTTAGCAAAATTGTCTGTTTCAAACTCCATTTAGTTTTAGATTTAGGATGGTTTTTCACTTTCTACCTCCACTTAAATTTGGAAGTATTAAATTTCAAACACAATTTATCTTAGGAAAGTTTTCGACCATTTTGTAACTACTTTTAGTTTTAGGAGGCTTTTTAAATAAAATTTTGACTCAATTAAATTTCAAGCACTTTCATTTTATACTAGGAAAGTTTCAACCACTTTGTACTCATTTTAGGCTTAGATTATTTTTTTTATAAGTTATTAGGTAAAAAATAAGCACTTTGAACTCCTTTTTATTTTAGGAGTCTTTATTTTTACCTTACATAAATCTTTTCCTGTTTCAAATTATATATGTAATGCTTCTATAAAAGAAGGTTTATTCTATTATTTTTATCATCAAAACTTGCATAGTTTTACTTTAGGAAGTGTCAAAAAATTTACAATGAATAAAATAGTCATTTAATTATTTTTTAAATATTTAGGACGTCAAAATTAATTAAATTTTATGTATTAAATTTTTTCCTATTCTAGTTATGTACTATACCTTATTTGTAAAACAAAATCACGTTTTCAGATTTAGAAGCTTAAAAACCACATATTACAAATTCATATTAGGCTAAGGCACGCAGGCCAAATGCCTTGAAATCATATTTTTAGTTTCGAAGATCATTTTTTGGTAGGGTCTTAATTATTATAGTTTTAAAACTTTTAAAGTGGGTAGGCACAAAATATATTGTCATCTTTCAATCAAATATTATTCCTATGATATTTTTGTATAATGAAGCAAGTATTTGAGAAAATTAAAGGAAGAACTACTATAATAGATCAAATTCCTAAACATGGTAAACACAATTATCATTTAAAACTTATAATTTTTGTTAATTCTTATATTATAACGTAAACACATCTTTTGAATAATACTTATGTCGTTTTTAAAAAAATTATTCTCATTAATTGTCACGACCCGAAATTCCCACCTTCGGACCGTGATGGCACCTAACATTTCACTTGCTAGTCAAGCCAACGTTAGCATAATATTATCTATTTTTAAAATAATTTTTTTAATTTATTAATAATCAAAGAACAAATGCGGAAGTAAAGTCTGAAATGTCGTTAATAATCCATAAAAACAACGGTGTCTAAATACCATCCCAGAATTGGTGTCACAAGTGCACGAACTTCTAGAATAATACAAATAAAGGTCTAAATAAAATAAAGTTGTCTAGAAATAAACACACAACTAAAGTAAAATAGACGTGGACTTCAGAACTGCGGACGTCGTGCAGTTATACCTCAAGTCTCCTTTGAGTAGCTGAAATCCAAGCAAGTCTATGGTACGCCGCTGGGACCAACTCCAAAATCAGCACAAGAAGTGTAGAGTGTAGTATCAGTACAACCGACCCCATATACTGGTAAGTGCTGAGCCTAACCTCAACGAAGTAATGACGAGGCTAAGTCGGGTCACTTACTCACAATATTAGTAACAACAACAATAATAGAAATAAATCAGGTAATTCATTTATAATAATTGAAGTCAACTCAGCAGTCATAACCAATTGTCATTTCCATCAATTCTGTTGGAGCGTGCAACCCGCTCTCACAATATATTCATATTCAATTCTGTTGCGGCGTGCAACCCGCTCCTCTAATATATTTATTTTAATCAAGTCTGTTATATATTTATTTCAATCAAGTATATATAGACTTTTTAATAAGTCTGTTGTGGCGTGCAATCTGATCCCCCAATATTGACTTTTAATAAGTCTGTTGTGGCGTGCAACCCGATCCTCCAATATGGACTTTTTAATAATTCTGTTGCGGCGTGCAACCCGGTCCTCCAATATATCCATTTCACTCAATTTTGTTGCGGCGTGTAACCCGATCCTCCAATATATCCATTTACCAATTCTTTTAGAAGAAATTTCTTCAATAAATGCAACAATTGATATAAAATTATAAGACAACAAGCATACAATAATTATGATTTAATTATGTAACAAACAATGACAAATAGCAAATTATTATGAAAATCGGGGAGAAAATAGGCAGTTTAATATTTAATATGCTAAATGTCAAATAACAATTAAAACACATAATTCAAATAGCATGTAACAACTAATGCAGGAATTCAAGAATTAATATTTGACAAAGAATATGAGAGAAAAATTATTATAATAATTAATTTATAATTTAAAATAATTTATGATTTTTCAAGTAAGCAGGCAAACAATTAATTTGACGACGTATAGAAACTCGTCACCTCGCCTATACGTCGTTCACATGCAATTCACATAACAAATAATTTAAGGGTTCTATTCCCTCAAGTTAAGGTTAACCACGACACTTACCTCGCTATGCAAATTCCAATCAATTACTCGACCACAACTTTTTCTTTTAAATTTATTTCTAAAAGCTTCAAATCTATTCCCAACCAATTCGATATACTCAATACGAATCATAGGAATTAATTCTATATGAATTT